AGGAATGCAGAGTTCTCTTGCTTGGAGGTTTAATTTGATGAAGTTTGTTGTGCACATTGCAAGGCATGAGGCTAGATCTTGAGACCACAGAACCTCTGAGTATTGTCTCACTCACAGGCATCTGTAAGACAGGAAGAAGAAAAACTCTTGGAAAACGCTTGTTTGATGGCTTGAGGTTGAAGTCAGTGGATTTTTGTGGGTAGGAGAGCAAAAGTGACTGACCAAGGCACTGAAAGATCTGTGTGACATCCAGATGATTTGCTGAGGTATATCCTGGAGATCTGGGGTTGTCCTGCCTGCCATGTGAGTCAGTTCCTTGGAAGCATCCTGGTGGCTTCTACAAAGGCCACCTCAATGCCATTATCTACAATCATAAATGCAGGTCAGAAGGCAGGTTGTTGGGAGTCAGGGGAACCTGGGAACCTTCCAGTGCTGCCCAGGAACTGGCTTGGGAGGTTTCGTGGACTGGTGGATATTCTGAAGAGAGTGCAAATAAGGACTCAGGTCCTTGTGGTATCAAAGGCTCTCCCTGCTCTGCGTGTGTCAGTCCCACAGCTGCTGTATCTGGTCACTCAGTGTCCCTCAGCACTCAAGGGCCAAAAATGGGGTCTTGCCTTCCAGCATTTCTAGGTCAGCTGCCTCTCCATAGCCTTTGTTCCTTGTAGGGTGTTTTCTGGAGAGAGGGAGCAGATCAGCCCTTCTGACACAACTGACACACTTATTTACAGACATGGGCAGGAGGAGATGAAGCTGGTGGGCTACACCCTCCCTGCTCTGGGAATGGAAGCAAGGGCATAGTTTGGGAATGCCAAGGCTGATGTAGGGTTTAGGAAGCTCACTGGAAGGGTAAACCATCCCAGAGATGTCCCTGCTCTCCTCATCAGCAAGGCTTGGCAGCAGCACCCAGAACTGTTCAGAGTTCTTAGGGGAAAGAACCAGTTCCAGAGTACTGGGGGTATGTTGGTCTCTGCAGTGACGGGGGAGGAGGGGAAGGACTTCTGGAAAGGAAGGGATTCCCTGCCAGAAAAGTCCTAGCTAGATAGTTGGTTTCTTGCTGTAACTTATCTTCTTACGCAACCCCTTAGTTAAATCTGTCAGGATGGTTGCTCTGGTCTGGAAAACTCCTCCTGATGATTACTACATATAAGTCTGGATTTTAGAGCCTGCTGCTGGTGCAGCATGATTGTGGCTTTCTGGTGGGATGCTGGAGGAGTGAAAATGGCTCCCAACTCTCCCCAACCCCAGCACTGGGCTTGGCAGAACCGTTCCTGTGTTGACAGGACGTTCTTGTTCCCATCAGTAGTTGTTTTGGCCTGTCAAATCCCAGACAAAATTCACAAGAGTGGAAAATTGCCTGCTAAAAGCCAGGAAATCATCCGTTTGCTGTGATTTAGCTGCTCCTTAAAGCCCCCCCATACCTTTTCTTTTTCTTTAAAATAAGGATTGAATCAGTGAAATGCTGATTTCAGTTCACACTGTCTTTGATCTCTCTGGAAGATCTGGTAGGTCTGGAGAGCAGCTAGAGTTCTTGGGTTAACCATTGCTAGCCAGAACATCTTGCTCAGTAACTCACCTCTTTGTATCTCTCAGAGCAGGGCAAACTTCTGAAGAGCTCCTTCCAATTCCAGGCAGGGAGTGAAGGGCACAATTTTCCCAAACAAACAGGGGAGCTCCCTGTTCTCCCAGTTTGCCATTAGTCGGATGATTGGTGGGAGGGTGCTGGGCAGGAGCAGTCCCTGCTCAGAGAGTCTGCATGGAAGTTTTAGGCAGGAAAGGGAGGGATGTCTTAAGACAGTTGGAGTGGGGTTTGGGGCAGGAATTTGAGCCCAGGTGCCAGGGTCCCAGCCTGGTGGTCCCTGGTGGCTGTTCCTGGTTGTTTTGGTCTCTGCTTGGCTGTGGTGCAGCCACACCAGGGGAGGAGTTGCAAGCAGGGTCTTGTTGGTGCAGCAGTCATGCCTGCCCAGGAAAAGAAAGGAGAGTGATGAACTTGCCATTGTTTTTTTGATCTTGTGGATCTAAGAGGAGATTCCTCCTACCTTGTGCAGGCAGAGCTGGAGCTGCCTGCTCATTTCAGCAGGGTTGCACACTGAGGGGGCAGGAAAGGTGGGGAACTCCATCACATCAAGACAAGCTGCCCTCTGGAATGGAGAGAGCATTTGGTGGCAGGAGAGAGGGTCCCTTGCTTGGGTCTCTACAAGGTCTGAAGAGGAGAGAGAAACACATTTACACATTTCAGGAACCCCTGAGCAGGCAAGGGTGGGAAAAGCCAGAAGATGGGGAGGAAAGAGGGTGGATTTGATCAGACTGTGTATTGCTGGTGGGGGTGGGGAAGTTCATGTGTTTCTCTCATTTACCAGCTGACAGATCTCTGGGAGGAAAGAGCTGCTCCTGGAAATTATTAATGGCTTAGCAAGAGGTGCTGGGCTGGCTCCTCATGAGGCAATTAAAGGCGAGAAGGGAGGATGGCTGTGGCCTCTGCTGAGCCTGGCTGGAAGGAGGGATCTGTCCACATGAGGTGTTGGTTGGGCCTCTAATGAACTCAAACAAGTTCCTTCATTTTTCCCCTCACATAATCATATTACATCAATTTAATGCCAGAGTGGTGGGGGCCAGGGCTGTGGAAGGAGAGGTCAGATGTTTTCATTTCCTAGCAGAGTAATCGTGGTCCTTCTCATGGCAAAATTCCTGGTGGGGGCTGACAGCTTGGGAAACTAGAGACAGAAGGAGGAGGAAGAGGGGAGAAGCACTGGTTAACCAGGGCACCCTGGGCATTGTCCTCTAAGTCTTGCTGACCCACTCCTGCCTCAGGAGATGGAAGCTTGAGTTCTGCCTCAGTACGTTGTAGGGAGGGACTGAGCTTATTGGAGGGGAGCAGGAGGCTGGAAAAGGTCAGTAAATTCCTCTTAGTGGCACAAAGGAGCAACCTGAGGGCCTGATACCCAGTTCCTGCCCATGACTGGTTTCCCTGCATCCTCTCAGATGAGCTGGTGGCCAGATCTATTGTTGCTTTTGCTGGTGCTGGTTGATGGGTGAGCACATGCCCCTCGTCAGCCCTCTCCTGAGCTGCTCAGGTGCCCATCACTAAGCCATGGTGTGAGCAGCCCTGCCATCCATCTCCTGCAGAGCAGGTGCCCCAGGGAGCTCCCTCCATCAGAGGTAGCTTCCCATCCCTGGGGGCTGTGGCAGAGGCTGTGAGCTGGCAGGGCTGACAGATGGGGGTGCAAGCAGAGGGAGCTGGGCCATGGCAGGGAGCTGGGAATGCAGCAGCCACCTTATTAATGGCTCTGTATCCAGTTCAGTGAGTAACACAGGGCAGCTGCTGAGCAGGGAGGATGGGGCAAGAATGAGATGCCACCGTGGGGCCCAAGAATCACAACATGCAAAAGATGTACAGGCAGTTCCCAAGCAGAGACCGGAGTGTGAGTAACTGGCTGCTGCAGCAGTTCTGTAAGCACAGGAGGCAGCCTGCAGCTCAGGGGTGGGCTTAGCTCAGGGGTGGTGGCTGCAAGGGGGCAAGAAGCAGCTGGTTCTTCTGATCCCTCCATACTGAATTTGTATCCTGTCATTTAAATGCCTGGTGTCTCATGGTGTCTGGAGGAGAGGCAGGGGAGAAGCACTCTTCCACTCAAATGAATTGCACATCAGTAAAAGAAGTCTAGTTCCAGAGGCTCAAAGGCTGATGATTTTCCCACAGGCCAAGCACCCAGAGTTTCTTAATTCTTCCTCCCCAGCTCCTTTGGACCTGGCTGGCTACCTGCAGAGGGAATTTGCAGCAGTGTCTGTTCTTAGACCTTTCTGTTGTGACAAACAGAGGGAATAAAGCTTAAGAGAGGCTTACAAGGATGCCCTAAACCAGGGAGCTTACCCCTTTCATTTACATAGGGCCATGGAGGATGCCTACATGCAGGCACTGCTGCTCACTGGAACCAGCCCTTCTCTGGTCTCAGCTTTGTGACTTATTTCTTCTCCTTTCTCATGTCTGTTCAGTAGTTCCATTTGTTCTCATTTTGTTTTTCTGTCTACCTTCCTCTCCTAGCTTCCATGTCTCTCTGAGCAGGGCAGACAGTTTGGTATCTTCATGATGGACACTTGGGTGCTCCATAAATACCAGGTTGCAGCAAATCCTGGGATTTAGCAGTGAAATGCTGCTGTGGACTTCTGAGGTGACTTCTGAGACTCTGTGTCCTGGGCTCTGAAATGAAACGCATCTTTCTCTGGGCCTCTGGTGCAAAGGGAAGTGGCTTTTGGAGAAGTTTTCCCCTTCAGTCTGTGTATGACTGTTGGGGTGGTGGCCCTTTGCATGTCCTGCCTGTGTGTGTGCTGCTCTTTATGGTGCCATTTACATAGGACAAATCCTTGCAGGTAAAGGCAAAGCCAAGCGGGCGTCGGACGACAGCTCAGAAGCCAGCAGCAAGGAGTATGGTGAGGATGATGATGATGATGAAGAAGGAAAGTATGAAATCGAGGAGGATGAGGAAGAATTGGAAGAAGACAGCGACTCAGAGGGTGAGTAGTGCAGCTGGGCAACGGGGAAGGGGATTATTGACAGAATTGAAGGTTCTTTTGCGTTCTGGGGGCTCCCCTACAAAGGAACTGTCTCTCTTCTTGCTCTGCTGCTGCTCTGAGCTGCAGGGTGTCAGGAGGGGCTTTTACACACATACACCCCCTGGGCAGGGAGGCCTGGCAAGTTCTGAGTTCATAGTGAGGACAGCGAAAGGGTTAAGGTCTTTGCAGGCCTTGCTCTAACAAGCCACCAGTCCCTTTCATCTCTTTTTCAGGGGCCTCCTGCAGAGAGGCTCAAACAAACTCTTGAAGTACAGCCCACCCCACCAGGGTACAGAAACCTTGCTGCAAGGCTCTCCACAGGTCACACAGGCATGGGGCTGTGGAGGGAGCACTTCACTCCTCAGCTCAGCACTGCCTGGGGTGTGGGGGTGCTGCACAGGGTAACCCTTTAGCTGCTGCTCCACAGCTCCTGCCAGGGTGGAACTGATGGGAAATAAAGACACTAAACCAGGTTGCCCAGGTGGTGGAGTCACCATCCCTGGGTGTGTTTAAGGGTTGTCTGGATGTGGTGTTGGTGGATATGGTTTAGGGGAGATCTTTGTAGAGTAGGGATGATGGTTTGACTTGGTGATCCCAAGGGGCTTTTCCAACCTGAATGGTTCTATGATTCTATGAAATCTTGTCCAAGTCCTTTGTTTAGGGTTTCTGCACCAGAGCAGTTTGCCAGTGTGTGTGCAGACCCTGCTAGGGCCACTGGCCTGGCCCTGTGCTTGTCCTGAGCACTTGGACCACTTTGTAGCTGCTGCCCAGAGACAGAACAAGGGGCAAGCAAGGGAGGTGAGCGTCAGCAGGAGAGGCTGTTCCTAAACAGCACCTGCCTGGCTGCTGGGAGAGCTGCCAGCTGTGTGGGACCCCAGGGGCAGCTCTGCAGCTGAGGTGAGAGTATCTCCCCGTTGAGCCCCTCGCTCAGCCCCCAGAGAGCTGCTCACTCCTGGTGCTGGGACCCCCTGCCAGGGGCTCTGGCTGCCCTCGGGTTCCTCTGCTGGGTTTTGTGCCACTTCCTTGGGCCTTTGTCAGACAGGGCTGAGCCTCTGCACCTCATTGTGCCACTGGGGGTGATGGGGATGGTGGGGAACAGCCACAAAAGCTCCTGTTCAGGCTTTCTTTACTGGTTTGGTGAGCAGGAAGGGGGAAGGAATCCAAGTGAGAGCAAAACCAGCCTGATGGAGCGTGGCAGGTGGCTGTGGCTCGGTGTGCACACCTGGGCACTGAGACTAGTTGGTATTTAGTGCATGTTCTGACAATGCTGTGAAAAGCAGGAGAGTTTTCCCTCTCTGCCCCCTGAAGTGCTCAGACAAGCTGAGGAAAAGCACCTCAGTGTGTGTCTGGGGGAGCAGGAGCTCTGACACTTTCTTCTTACAGGTGTAACAGCAGCTCCCTGCACTTGGGACTGTAGGAGGGCAGGAGCCACGAGAATCTCCTGGTGCCTGGTGTAGAGGGGGGGACAGGCAGGCCTGGGTGCTCAAACCACACCTGGTGGGAAAGACTCTGGGACTGGGGACACTTGTGCTCCCCACCATTAAGATACATGGAGCCAGAAGGGAGCTTGGGGCTAGTTTTGCATCTGGGCACCTTGCAGGGCAGCTCCTCACCAGCAGCTCTTGCTGCCCAGCCTGGCAGCTGCAGTGGGGCTGTGGGGCCTGGCTCCTGCCCCCCAGTTCTGCCTTGTGTTTTTGCACAGCAGAGGGTTGGGGGCTCCTCTCTTACCACCCCGAGTGCTTCAGCACCAGCTCTGCACCCAGTGCCCTGCAGAGCTCCTGCTGCTGCCGCGGGGCTGCAGCGGCGCCAAGAAATTAACGAGTGTCTGGGATTAATTAGCAACGAGTTGCCTCGACTTGCCTCACTCTCTCTCCCAGTAAAGTAGGATTTACACCTCTCCCCCTTCCCACCCGCAGAGGGAGGCCCGGAAGCCGCGCAGCTTTCCCAGGGGTCACAGAAGAAGAGGCCCTGTCTCCGTGGGCTGACACGTGCTGACCTGGACCAGCTCGCCCAAGGGGAGGAGGACGTTGTGGAGGACTTGACCTTCTCAGATGAGGACTGAGCACATCACAGACACCTTCCCTGCAGGGCTGATCCCTTCCCATGGTGCTGCACCTTGGATCACTCAGCACTTGCAGTTGGGTCTCAGAGGTGGTAAGAGCTGGGGAGCACGGTGGGTGGGAGGCCACCCCAGGTGCCACCAAGGACTCTTCTCAGTGACACAGCAGAGGTTACACTGGGACTTATGCACCTTTTTTTTTTTTTTTTAATACAATTTTTTTTGGTAAACAGTAAAATTGTGGTCAAGTCAAAGCCAGTAAAACTGCTCAGCACAGGTAATAAAAAGTCCTCATTAAAAATCTGCTGCTTTAAATAGCACAGGGTTCAGTTTCAGTGCCTGTTGGCTCCTTAGTGAGCCAGCTGAGGGGCAGGACACGTTCCTTTGTCTAAGGGTCCTGCTGTCTGTTCAGCCAACCACCCTGTATGTTTGCTCTGGGGCCCTCACCAACCCCTCCCTTTTGCTAAGAAGTTCTCAAGGATTGGACAATGTGAGAGCTGGGCATCCTCACTGCAACCAGGCACCTTCAGCAGCAACACCAGCAGCAGCTCAGGCAGTTCCACCAAGCTGGCTGTAGGGAGGCTGAAGAAGTTACCTTCAAGTAAGTGCCTCAGGATATGGCAGGGAGGGTGGGGGGGAGGTGGGAGGCTGTGCAGGCAGGAAGGAATAATTAGAGGCAAACCCGATAATGTAGGATCCCTGCTTTCCTGCTGGGATGGCTGTTGGATCTGCACAGGACACATTTGCTTAGCAAAAAAGAAGGGACAAGTCTGGAGCCCGTGTGTTGGGGCAGACCTGTTGTTATCCTAAAATGTGACATCAAATCACCTCTTTGTAGGGCCAGTCCTGGCTGCCGGTGGTGACCCCATCTGGGTCTGTCAGCCTTGCCTTCTTCCCCCAAAGCCATCACTGGGGTGGCTTCGAGGTGCTGTGTGGGAGGGCAGCTTGTAGCTCCAGGTGGGTGTGATCTGCTGGGAAGGGATCAACTGGGTCTGTCTTGAGATCACCGGTAGTTTACAGGACTGGCAGTCAGGAAACATTTCTTTGGAAAATAAACTGGAAATCAAGGGTGTTTGCTGGGAGAGGTAGAAGATAGAAGTGTTTTTAGGGTGTACCTGACAGGAACACTCTTGACCATTAACTGTACCTGTCAGGAGCACTGTTCTTGGCCAATGTGGATTCTGGGACAAGGAGGTAAGAGGGATAGGCCTAAATATGATCTTTCTTCTTCTCTGCCACCCTTCAGTGTGGTCAGGAGGGTCTGTCAGCACCAGGGGTGGCCAACCTGCCTAGAGACATGATCACCTCTGCCTTCTGCACTGCTACATGTTTCTCTCTAGGCATCCTACCTGCACATCACAAGAGCACAAGATGCTTTTAGTTATTAAATAATACCCCACGTTTTCCTTTTTAAGTTCTGTGTTCATGGAGCCAGAAGAACCACAGCTCAGTAACAGTAACACTGCCTTGATTGCAGCTCCAAACCCCAGCGCACTGTAGCTTGGCTGGTGGGCTCCTCTCACCCACCTAAGTGGGAACAACCTGGTGTGTGTAAAGGCAATTCTGCTGCTCCTCTGCTCCCAGCATCAGCCCTGCACAGTTAATTCCTG